TTATAAGGTGCAGGTAACACAAAAAATATTGCCAACTGACCGTACACGTCGCTTGGAATACGCCCAAACAGTCGCTCGCATGGTTGATGCTGAACCTGATTTTTGGAAGCAAATTGTGATGACCGACGAGGCCCATTTCACGCTCTCTGGCGGCGTTAATAAGCAAAACTGCCGCATTTGGGGGATGATCCACATGATATCCACGAAATACCGTTGCATGACCGTAAAGTGACTGTTTGGGCTGGCGTTTGCGCCAAAACCATCATTGGGCCATTTTTCTTCAACGATAATGAAACAGTCGATGGAAATCGATATCGGTGGATGTTGGCTCATTGTCGGCCCACAAGTGAATGAAAAAGGCTTGATGGTTACTGGTTTCAAAAAGACGGTGCGCCATGCCACACTGCAAATTAAACCATCCAGTTTCTGCAACGAACATTCTGATATCAAAAAGAGGTGACATTGTCTGGCCACCCAGGTCTCCAGATTTGACCCCACCGGACTTCTTCTTGTGGGGTTACTTGAAAAGTCAAGTGTACGCTAGCAAGCCCCAGACCACTGAAGAACTCAAGGCAAACATTCATACCGCAATCGCCGCTATACCACCAGAGATGCTCGCGAAAGTAATGGAAAACGCAGCAAAACGGGCACATTTTGTTTTGGTCTATAAAGGTGGCCACTCGATAGATGTTGTGTTCAAAAACTAGTTCCAATAAATTGTAAAGGACCATATTTAATAAAAATACCCAATATATATATATATATATAGAAATCAGTTTTTCGTTTTCAAAGTTATTTCATGTTTACATACCGACATAAAAGATGGCGCACCGTGTAGATGTGGGGGTAGTTTTCATCCTTCTCAAACCCTTTACCGTGTTTTTATAAATGTCAAACATTTGAACTTCTAGCGAAACATGTGTTCCGAATTCCAAAATAAAACCATGACTCCCTCTAACGGAGAAACGAAGCCCTATTGCATAAAGGTAAATCATGTCCAATAAACTTATTTTGAGACTGTGGTACTTCTACGTACATGGAAGCCTGGCTTACCTATTCAAGACTGCATCTTTTGTGTTTTCATTGTTATCACATTTAAAACTGAATTTCCAAGAGGCATTATCAAATTCAAATCGCTTGGTGTCTGCATATACTACCTGGATCTCAACCTCATCAATTTCTAACTTCACGATGTCTCCAGTAGCCAGCACTTTAGCATCCTTGACCATCTCTATATTTTTTCATATCAACAATATGAACATGTTTACCTTTCCCCCATCGAACATGTATGAGACATTAGGGGAAGAAGGTTGCAAAATTTATCGTATCCTCCACAAACACTGGATGCTCTACGAAACCAAATTCAGATAGCCTGGGATACAATATACCAAGAGTACATCAATCACCTATCCAATCAATGCCGCGACGACTTAACGAATGAGCGGCGATCAGATGAGCTTCAACACATTATTAACATTAAGGTGGACTGTCTCAGCTATTTTCCAAAATTTCGAGTTAAAATTTTAATCACTTTCTATTTATCAATAGACCTAAAAATTGTAAACGGATGCTCAAAATTACAGCACTCCTAGTCAGTGTTGCATTTTCTATGTCATAGGTATCAGGTTATAATAAAAGACATTATACGCTCTTGCAATTTCTTCAATATATGCATAGCTAAATGACTCTTGATGGTTGTTTTATACGCAAAATGTGTACATTCATGTACAGGGTAGGGCAGAAGTGATGACCCGGTTTAGAGGAAGTATCAAAGAAAAACTGAATAACACAGGCTTAAAATTTTGTATTATAATTTGTATGTAATCCATTTCTTTTTTATTTAGTTTTGAACCCAACTTCAGCCTGGCCTTCAGCAGCAATACACTAATGTAGTCTATTTCGGAAGTTTTCTACACATTTATAATAATAATAAAATGTCTTTTATTTTCCTGGCGAGGATTCAGCTAACAGCTGTTCCTACTCCCTAACCAGGGCACCAATTGCTTACAAGCACCTTTAGAATAAAATTTAATAATTTATAAGAGTTTTAGAAACAAAACAACAAGAGTCTGTTTACAGTTATACAGGGTGTCCGCAAAGTTGGGGTTTTCCTTTACACGACGTATAGATCTTGAAAACATAAGCAATTTTTCTTAGTACCATATACACCAGTGTCTTAAGGGAACCGAGATAAAGGGCTCTGCAACATCAAAAATATCTGAATACCGTCCTGTAGCCGCGATATCCCCGAGTGGTACTAGGACACTAGCTCAACCCGACGACAGAACTGGGTCGGGGTCAGTGTGTCAGGTCAGTATGCAACCTTCAACCGACGGTTACGGTCACGCGTGTAGAGGTAATCGGGTAGATGAGAATCCCTCAACAAGCACTAGAGACGTGGCTAGAGAAGTGCAAGTATCAAAAACTAAAGTGTGGCAAACGCTGCGTGAAGAGGGGCTGTATCCGTTTCACGTCCAACGTGTACAAGCCCTTCAACCTGACGATTTTCCAGCAAGAGTGCGGTTTTGTGAGTGGTTGTTGCATCAACATGACAATAATCCGGACTTTTTGAAGTGCATATTGGTGACAGACGAATCTACGTTCACGCGTAATGGGGTGAATAACTTTCGCAACACTCATGTTTGGTCATTTTCAACAAACATTTTCGGTGAATGTTTGGGCTGGCATGGTGAACGGTATGCTCATTGGACCATTTATTCTCCCAAATCGATTGGACGGGATGCAATACCTAGACTTTTTACGCAACATTTTGCCTTCCTTGTTTGCCTTCGTCTGCTCGGTAGCGCATCAGCTGATTTCATTTTCTGTTGGAGCGGTATGATTTCGGGCAGAGACGTACTTAGCCCTTCTCGTCAACTGGAGAGTGAGTACTTTTTCCTTTATTTTTTTTACTTGGTCGCACTCGTTTCACTACACATTACCTTTGTTATTTCAAGGGTAGTTGTTTCTGAAAAGGAAAACCCCAACTTTGCGGACACCCTGTATAGATAGACCGTCTTTAAATATGAGCTCCTTGATTTGCCCTTTAAATTTACTAAGTGGTAGCTGCTTGACTGAAAGCGGTATTTTATTATACAATGCAGCTCCTATATAAGAAAACGATTTTTTAAAATTAGATGTATTGTGAGCAGGAATATAAGATATAGATAATTCATCCTTTAAGTAGGCGGGGTTTATTACAAAGAACGGAATGTACCAAACAGCATATATGTACCATCCACCTTTTTCTCATAGTAACCATGGAATACGCTTCAAATATGGTGATATATTTTCTCGTCGGAAACATGCATTTTGAATCTTTTGCAACCTGTAGGATTCATTTTGTATCAGGAAAGGACCAAACATGGAAGCAGCATATTCTACTTTGCTTAGAATCAACGAATTAGTTAAAATAACTTGGGCGGATTCAGAAAGTACGTGTCTGAAACTATATATGCTTTTCAAGGCACTATATGAGCTTTGTACTATTTTTGTGACATAGTCAAGGAATGTTAACGATGAGTCAAAAAGCACACCTAAATTTTTTATCTGTAGTTTATGATGGAGTGGCTCACCTCCGATAGACAAATTAACAACTTTACTGTCAAAATTGCTTAGCTTGGATTTAAAGGTAATGACGGTGGATTTTCTTGGGTTTAGAAGTAATCCATGGCTAGAGAAATATTGATTTGCAGCCTGTAAGTCTCTTGACAGGTTGGTATTGGCTTGTAAAAAATCATCAGGATTATATGAAAGGTAGATCAGGGTGTCATCTGCATAGGAGTGAACTTTACAATAAGAAATAGACTCGTTGAAATCTGATACAAAGAGATTAAATAAAATTGGCCCCAGGATCGAACCCTGTGGAACACCTTGCATAACATTGCATTTCGAAGATATTTTTGCTCCAAGTTTCACAATTTGTGATCCACCAGATAGATAACTAGAGAACCAGGCAAGAGATGATGCTGAAAATCCAAAAAAAGACAGTTTTGCCAAAAGAAATCTATTATCTATGCAGTCAAAAGCTTTAGACAGGTCTAACATTACGCATGTCGTAGCATTACCATCGTCTATGGCTCTTAAGTAGTCGTCACTGACATCAATCAGTGCAGTTACAGTACTATGTCCAGGTTTGAAGCCTGATTGTGTGGAATGTATCAAGTTATATTTCTTTATATGAATAGACATCTGCCCAAATACAATTCTTTCTAATAACTTAGAGAATATAGGCAATAGACTGATAGGTCTATAATCACTAAGTTCCAGCGGTTGCTAATTTCCACAATTCTGGAAAAGTGCCAGTCTCCAAAGAAAAATTGATGATATGCGCAATAGCATTAAGACAACATGGTATGAGTATGAACATTTCCAATATATTTAGACTCAGTCCATCATGATCTGCACAATTTGATTTTATTTTTATAAACTCGTCAAATATGATTTGCTGATATATTAAAGTAAAGTTAAAATCGTCATCAACAGAACGATGCTTGTGATTTTCATAGTACACTAGTAGTGATTCATCTATAAGTGCTATTTGGAATAGAATTTATAAAGAAATTATTGACAGTCACGTTCAAAAGGGCAGTCGTTAAACTTATTTTTATTACCATGTATACCTAACTGCTTGATACATTTACACCAGCTACGACGCTACGAGAATCGCGCTTTTGCTTTTACTGATACTCAACGTAAGCCTTCATCTCTCTACGAATGGGAATAACAGGTGATTAAAACAGCTTTATTAAGAATAACTTGTTAGGGGAATAACAAGTGATTGAAATAGCTTTACTAAAAATAACTTGTTAGGGGAATAACAGGTGATTAAAATAGCTTTTTCAAGAATTACTTGTTCAGGAAATAACAAGTGACTAAAATAATTTTATTAAAAATAACTTGTTAGGGGAATAACAAGTGATTTAAATAGCTTTATTAAGAATAACTTGTTAGGGAAATAACAAGTGATTGAAATAGCTTTATTAAGAATAACTTGTTAGGGGAATAACAAGTGATTGAAATAGCTTTATTAAGAATAACTTGTTAGGGGAATAACAGGTGATTGAAATAGCTTTTTTAAGAATTACTTGTTAGGGAATACCAAGTGATTGAAATAGCTTTACTAAAAATAACTTGTTAGGGGAATAACAGGTGATTACTAAATTTTGTAATTGTTTGTAATAAATCCATTTTTGTTCAATGACTTCTTTTTTAAAATTTTTCTTTTTCAAGTTTTTATAGCTGAAATAAGCTTTATCTCTTAGTTTCATCATGAGACGAATGTTCCGTATTATCCAAGGGAAAGACCTTTTGGACACCTTCTTGTATTTCAGATGAGCACATGCATCTAAAACAAATAGAATTAGTTTATTCAAATACTCAACTTTAGAATTAATATCAGGATGATGGATCACACCTGATCAGTAGAGAGAAGAGGCGACAGTAATGAAAAGGTGCATGTCCATATTCTTTAAATTTCTTGTCTCTATATACTTAACATTGCTGGCGACAGGTAGTGATTATACGCAAAAATATACAAGGTGGTGGTCGGATATCGAAGGGAAGTTAACAGTGCCAGTTTTAGCGACTGATACATTTTGACTAACAAAAGCCACGTCGATCAGTGTAGAGGTGAAATTGGTAACTCTGGTTGGTTCTTCAACAATCTGAGCTAGTCCATAGTCTCTCAATATGTTGCTTAGGAAATCATAACTTGAACTAGACTTATTTAAAAAATTAATATTGAGGTCACCCATACAAATTATGCTATCTACTTTCAAATGAAAGTCCTCCAAAGATGTTTCCAGATCTAACAGTGCTGAGAAATCTACCGACGGTGGTCTATAAACAATACCAGTTGCATATACGTGCTTATTAATTTTAATTTTAACCCATAGTTGTTCTAGACCTGTTTCAACTTGGCTTTTTGAGTTACACCACCTCTTTTGCCAAATCTGTCTGATCTAAAAATTTGAAAGCCCTCAATATCAATATGCTGGTTCGAAACTTCAGGCTTAAGCCATTAATTATGTTAAACCAAACACATCGAAGTTTTGAAGCAAAACGTAATCCCTAATATCACTGAAGGAGCTAATCAAGGATCTCACATTTAGAAAGCCAATCAATAAATTATGCTCATCACTTGCAATAACATCAAATTCATACATGTTTATCAGTTCTAAAAGATCGCTCAAATATTCAGAAAAAAACAAACAAAAAATGTAGTGAGAGGTTATGAGAAGAAAGAATAAAAAGTGTTTATAAAAAAGAGTTCGTATGGGATTAAAAGTGACGATAAAAAACTGTTTTGCTAAATTTAAATTTAACCCTGAAAAAAAACTACTGACAGTAGTTCGTTTTGTTACGAACTATATCTTAAACCTTTTTTAAAGAGGCACACTTTTTATCCCAAATTGCATGACACGTATCTATATTTTTTTTTGTGTTTTTTTTCATTAAAAACTACACAATTGACACACTTAAGACTAGGACGTTTACAGGATTTTCTCTCGTGATTACCCATACACAGAGGGCAAAACAATATCTTTCACACAACTTTTTTGCACATGACCGTATTCACAGCATTTAAAACATCGCACTATGGAAAGATGCTTAAAAACACTACACCTGCTCCAACCTATATTCACTTTATTTACATGCCAGAATCTGTGAAAAGTTGAAGGATCCGTTTCTGCTACAATATCTATCTTGCCATTCCTAGCTGGATATTTGTAAACTATATTGAAAGTGCACTCAGCGCTTATGTTGTTTTGGGCCTTTAATTTATTTCTAAATAAATCTGCTTCTGACTCGATGTTCGTAGCAGGCACACCAACTATTTTGATTCTAGGATTCTTCTTTTTTGCCATAGATACCATGCAATCATCTCCCATACTGGTTTCAATCTAGGTTTTAAGTTTTTCACGTGATCGTGGATTGTCACACTCAAGGGCAATACTGCATTTGTTAGAGGCTCTGTCCATCTGGACACCGACCTGTAGTTGCTCTGGTGCAATTTTATTCATCAGCTGCTCTTTCAGTAATTCACTGTCATTAGCTTTAACTGATTTTACAAATAGAATATGTTCCCTAGGCTTTTCACCTTTGACAGCATCGCTATAAGTGACCGGGTGTGCTTGCTTTGGGGTGTTTTAATTTAGGATGGCATCATCAAATTTATTACTAAGCTCAGCTATGACTAAGCTGAGTTCCTCAATTTTGGAGTTCTGATTTTTTATCATCTTATAACAAGCATCTAATTTCGTCGTTGCATCTGCTAATACTGAAGCCACATTGGCACAGTCACATGACGTGCTAGTAGAGCGGCTGGTACCGCTTCTTATATCCCCTGAATTACTCATGGTTTCAAGAACTTTTGAGCTTGGCTAACTCGACAAATTCAAAACTACTCACATCTGGGCAACATCCGTACAGTCAAATGTCAAATGCTGTGGTTGAATAGGGTTCAAAGTCCAACCAGGAGCACGCCAAAGGAACCGAGTTCAAATTTGCTTAATCTCAAAAAGCAGCAGGACACAAACTAATTCAGGACTCGCCTTGTCTGCTTATTAGCACTTCTACATGCCCTTACATATTTTTTCGAACTAGAAATAATAGGATTTTTGGTTGAACTACATTGCACTATGTAAACAAACTAACATCCAACAGTGGGTATGGGGGGTATGGTGGATGTTTCCTCAACAGTTCGGGTCTTTAGCTCGTCTAAAGTGTGGAGGCGATGTTTAAAAACTGTCTCCTTCAAATAACCCCGCAGAAAAAAGTCGCATATGCTTAAATCTTGCGAGCGCGCTGGCCATCCCAAGTCACCGTTCAAAGACACGATACGACCAGGAAACACTCGTCTCAATTTCGCTATAAAAATCTGAGCTGTGTGTGCTGTAGCCCCATCTGGTTGGAGCCACAGATCTCGTAAATTAGTTTTGTCACTCAATTGTTAGAATTGTGGCTCAAAAAAGAAGATTCTATTTATCGTAGTCCCAGAGAGGTGAAAGTGGGCCTCGTCGTTGTTGAGAAAGGTTGATGTTTCGGGGATTCGTTCAAGCATTTCTTGACAACGATTGACACGGTAATCATACGGCGTCATGATTTTATAGGGATGGAATGAGAGTTCTTCATGCAGAATTCTCTTTAAAGAGCGAGCAGACATATCCAAAGCAATCGCATGCCTCCGAGCCGAGCGCCTTGGTGACAATTCAACCGTTGCCCTCAGACTTTCGCGTATCAGATCTGGGTCTTCCAATTGCCTTAGCTCTTGTAGTGGATCCAGTTTCTTCCAATGTACGGGCCAACAACTAATTGTCTTACCGCTAGGGACCGTAATGCATGGCGATGACGGAGCGACCACTTTCAAAAAACGTACGCACAGTGAAGCCGCGATGCTCATCTATCCAAATGATGGCCTCATCTAGAAACGGGACGATGCGACACCCACAATGAGATTCATCCCCTTCCTTCCCCCTTCCTACTCCGGCCACAGAACAGGCAATTTAGCACGTTGGCTGCGACACATGCCACCAGGGGCATGTTTCGTTCTTTACTACTAGGCTGAATGATATTTGGGCAGATATTCGTTAGGTGCGGATGTCATAAAAACTTTATTCCTTACCCAATTTTTTCCGTATATATACCTATGTGATCAGGAACTAATCTATAATTACAAAATATGTTTTTTTCAGGACATGCCTCCGGTGGCATGCGCCGCACACAAGTAATGAAATTTACTTTGTGTGCGACACATGTCACCGGAGGCATGTGTAGTTTTACTGCAACCTGTTTGTTTTTGAGGTTATGTGATTTGTGTACAATACAACAAGGGTGTTTAAATTGAACAAAAGATGTCTGAAAGAGCGAAATATATGGTAGAAATTGCCAGAAAACAAATGAGTCATGCAGAAGTTGATGAGAACTCAGGTGATATAATGCAAAATGGTAACGGTAGTTCAAAAAGTGTCGTGTCGGAAGTTTTTCAAGAAGATGATTCCTTTGGTGGTAATAGAGCTGATAATCAAGAAACGGACCGCAGAATTGAAGAAGAAAGTGCTGTGTTACACACTGAGAACTGTAGTTCGAAAAGAGTGGTGTCGAAAGTTTTCCGAGAATATGATACGTTTGGTGGAGTTGAAAATCAAGAAACGGAGCATGCAGTTGAAGGAGATGACGACATGAATATAATATATCCATCTTCAACAGACGAACTCGAAGTAGAAGATCCTTATAGCAGCGATGATTCCTTGCGTGACAGAAACTATGTTCCAGACTCATCCTCTTCATCTGATTCCGAACAATCATCCGAATCACGTCAATCATCCCCAGTGACCATTAAGACTAATCAGACTGTAAGTAATAATGAGCAAACTGATGATTCCAGTGACAATGAGTGGTGTGACTTAGATGATGACGATGTGACTGACAATTTTGTCCCACAAAAATGTAAACTTTAAATATTGACAAGAACGGCATTAAGGAACCCATTGACGCTTTTACTTGCCTTATTACCGATGATATATTAGATTTAATTGTCGAACAAACTAATATTTTCGCCACTCAGAAGCAAGCTGAACAGCATTCCAGAAAATCCAGAATTAATAAATGGACTCCAACAAATCGAGATGAAATTAAAATTTTTTTGGGTGTCACGCTGGCTATGGGGCTTACTCAAGTTCCTCATATCAATCTATATTGGGCCAAAGATGACATATATCATAACCACTTCATTTCCAGTGCAATTAGTCGTGATCGTTATATTTTGCTGTTATCATTTCTTCATTTTGAAAACAATGAGACTTGCGATAAAGCAAACAGACTCTACAAAATACAAAACATAATATTCAAGTTACTTAAAAATTTTCAAGAAGCCCTAAAACCTGGCAATACGTTAGTAATAGATGAATCTATGATACCATTTAGAGGACGACTCCTGTTCCGGCAGTACATCCCAAACAAAAGCCACAAATATGGGATTAAACTTTACAAGCTCTGTTCGCCAGAAGGATATACCTTTTTCGTCATTGTATACAGTGGAAAGGGGGACACAAACGCTGAACTTGGCCATTCCCAGTCCATTGTACTAAAATTGTTGGAAAATGTTGAGCCAAAGGAAGGCAAAATCCTATTTGCAGATAATTTTTACTCCAGCGTCCCCCTTGTCAAACAGCTGTTAAAAAAGAAGATGATGTACTGTGGCACATTACGAGCCAACAGAAAAGGTTTACCAGTAACTTTTTCTGTAAAAAGTAAAATAAAAAGGGGACAAATCATTTCCAAGAAAAAAGGAGACGTCAAGATTTTTAAATGGATGGACAAGAGGCAGGTGTTAATGATAAGTAGTGTACCATCTCATAAGGCAGATTTAATTCCAGTTGGAAAAAAAATAAAAAAGGAGAAGATGTTGTTAAGCCCCAATGTGTGATTGACTACAATGCAGCCAAAAAGGGGGTCGATTATTCAGACCAAATGTCTGCATACCACACTGTTCTGCGTCGAAGCCTGAAGTGGTACAGGTGAGTATTCTTTTACATTATTTTAAAGTATGGCATACTATATTTTCTGATTTTTTTTTTTAGGAAAGTCATGTTTGAGCTGATTCTTGGAACATCCGTGGTGAATTCCTTAATAATATATAACTTATGTGCTAAAGAAAAATCGAGCATAACAGAGTTTAGGCGTCAGCTAGCTTATTCCCTAGTCAAATCTCCAAACTCTGAAGAAACGATAAAGGTTCCAAAAAAAAGAGTGCATAGTTTTCAAAAACCTGACGGACCTGGCAGGAAAAAGCGCAAGCCCTGTAAGGGTTGTCGTCAAATTTTGAAAAAATCTGGATTGAATTATCGCGAAATCGACAAAAAAGTTCGAAGGGATATAACATATTGTTCTGATTGTCCAGGTCAACCTGGATTTTGTTTAAATTGCTTTAACGCTGCTCATAATTGAACTATGTAATACAAATGTTATGATAATTTTGAGCTATAATATTATATTCGTGTTTTTTTTTTTAGTTTCTATTTTTTCTAAGTTAATTTTAGGATATAATTTACATTTTTTTAAGTTCTACACCGTTTTTTCAAATTTAAACTTAAAATAAATATGTTTACTTTTTGCATAATGAATAAATATAAGTAACCTAAAATTTTCCTTAGTTTTCTTGCGGCACGTGTCCCCGGAGGCATGTGCTATTGAAAATGCAGGCACAGTTCTTTAATGAAAGCAACTAGAATTCATTGATATTTGAAAAAAAATTTAACTGGTCGAACTAGATGTCTCTACATGTCATAAATGCAAACATGCCACAGGAGGCATGTGACGCACAAAAAATAAAATAAGGCACGGGTCTCCAAAGGCATGTGCCGCACACCAAATGAAGGTAGAAATTGGTAGCCGCAGTCAACGTGTTAGGTTCAATTTCACTTTACAGTGAATAGTACTATGTTGAATGTTTTAACTGATGCCTATCAAAATTACTTTTGATGGTTGTTTGATATGCGCAATGTGTACATACATTTATTTTACAAGAAACGGATGCAATAAAGTCCGGATGTATCCTGATTATATGATCATTCAGTGTTGCTTTGCTTCTGAATTGTGCATTACAGTGAATACATATACTGAATTTATAATTACCTACTAACTCTGGGTGCTGCAACATATGCCTAGCTAAATTACTCTTGAGGGTTGTTTTATATGCACAATGTGTACACTCATGTATTTTACTAGAAACAGATGCAATAAAGTCTGGATGTTTCCTGATTATATGATTATCCAAATGTATTTTATCTCCGCATTTCGCTTTACAGTGAATACATATGTTGAATTTTAAGTTAACTTCTGTCTCTGGATGTTTTAACATATGCCTATCCAAACTACTCTTGATGGTTGTTTTATATGCACAATGTGCACATACATGTATTTTATTACAAACGGATGCAATAAATTCCGGATGAATCCTGATTATATGATCATTTAGTGTTACTTTGCAACTGAATTTAGCATTACAGTGAATACATATGCTAAGGTTATAGTTATCTCCTGTCTCTGGATGTCTCATCATATGTTTAACAAAATTACTCTTGCTGGTTGTTTTATAAACGCAATATGAACATTTGTGAATTTTACTAGAAACGGATGGAATAAAGTCAGGATGTTTCCTGATTATATGATCATTCAGTGTTGTTTTTCGTATGAATTTCGCATTACAGTGAATACATATGCTGAATTTATAGTTACGTACCGACTCGGGGTGTTTCAACATATGTCTAACATAACTACCCTTACTGGTTGTTTTATAAACGCAATATGAACATTTGTGAATTTTACTAGAAACGGTCGCAACTAAATTAGGATGTTTTCTAATCACGTGATCATCTAGATTATTTTTGTTAACGAACTTCACATCACAATGTTTACACGTGTTATTTTTATAGCTGAAACGGTGCATGTTTCTACTTTTCTGATTTGTATGTACTTTCATATGACGAACCAAACGATTCTTAAATCTAGCAGAATAATTACAATTATGACAATTAAATGACTTGCTGCTTGACTTTTTATACAGTACAGGGTGTTGCTTCTTCAGGATTTCCCGATTCAACACACTGGAAGAGATCAAACTGGTATTATTTTGGATGATTCAATTGGATTCAATTGAAGGGACCAATGCTAGACCCACTCAAGCCCATTTTTTATAATTTTACATGAGAGCAAAAAAAAGGGGAATTGTTTTTGTACAGCTCGATAGATAATTCTAAACTGGGTGAAAATGTGATGTTAACTAATTTTTCCGAAAAAACGGAATTGGCCGGTTCTTGCATTGGACCCTTAAATTGTAGTTTAGATTCATTCAGTAGGATTATTGCACTCATGAATAGATAATTGGAATTACTGTGCTAAATAACTAAATACATAAATAGAACTTTAAATATATTAAGTGACATATAAAATTCAACACCCATAATTACTTATTGAATTTTGATAAACACTTGTAAACATATTATTGCTATAATGGAAGTATACGCTGATAAAATGTTGACGGCATTCCGAGCCGTACTTTTTTGTAAAGGTTTTTTTGTCATATCAGGATCCGAACAATATGAACATGTTTACCTAATATTCAGTGATTTTTCTGTGTTGGTCCCATTTGCTTCATTGCATTATCATGCCTAGAGTTCGCAGACGTGCTAATTTCACTCAACAAACGAAGCTACTGTAATTATATGTTGTCGAGCGTGGTTCCAAGAAGGCCGAAATCGGCGAATTAGAGGTACTGGACTTCAAAGACAGTGACAGGATGGTTATTTGAGGCAACTAGCACTTAGAGTTCGATTTTCCACAACAAGTACAGTTAAGATCCAGTGGTTTGATGCTGTGGGGATCCCAAGGAAATTTTAATAATCCGATTTTGAAGTCAGGCGGGTCTGTCGCGAAGGCACATCGCGCGGCGGCATCCTGGAGGAGAGCTCTGAGGAGCAAAACCCGTTAGTGAAGCGGTAGAAGAATGCTAGATCGCTGACGGTCTACCGGTGCGAAAGGGTCCTGAGACTGTTAGGGAAGAACCCTCCTCTGGATAGCATCGAACATAAAGAATGTAGTCGGGGCGACAGCACCCCTAACGTGTGAGCAATACTCAAGGCTAGGTCTTATCTGGACCTTGTTTAGAGTGAGGAGGTCATGCGGAGAAAAGTACATCTTAGCCCTAAACAAATAGCCTAGCTTTTCCCAGCAGCTGCCGCTTCTGACGAGGCGTTCGTGCCAGATCAAGTCCTCGGTGATCTGGACTCCAACAAGCCGAAATTAACGGCTCATTGGCAGAACTCGGCCATCCATCGAAACCGGATGAGCGCTAGGACGCTTTTTGTTCGTCAAAGTATAGTTGCGTCCCCAAGCAGTGACAACCACCAGGTCTCTCGTTAGAGAGGTAGTCGCCGCTATTTTTTCCAGCTCACCGGCAGAGATCGGCTTGTCACTCTAACTTCCTGAACGTAGAGTGCTTTCATCAGCAAAGCTGTGGTTTGGGTGGATCATACAGGAAAGTAGGTGATATTTAAAAGGGATAGCGTCGGAGCCAAGACCGATCCCTGCGGAACACCTGCGTTGATGTTGTGGGATGAAGAGGAGAATTCGTCAATTACGCCGGATATCTTGCGGCCAGAGAGAAAGACCGCCACCCATCTGCAACACTTTTCTGGGAGGCCATAGGATGGAAGTTTGCTTAAAAGGGCAGCAGATCGAACGCTTTCGTGGTATCAAGAGCAACGACATGAGCCTCACTATAAGACTGGATGAGTTTACTCCACAATTGCATGACGTAAGCTAGGAGGTCCCCTGTGGATCGCTGGTGCCGGAAACCATACTACCTATCGCTAATCAAGCCGTGACGATGGAGGTAGTCCAAAAGCTCGCGATGTATGTACCTCTCCATCACCTTATTTATAACAGAAAGCAGAGCTACAGGTCTGTAGTTGTAAGGGTAGGTCTTAGATCTTTTGCTAAGATAGGTTGAACGTGAGCAAATTTCCAGTTTTATAGGAAAGTGCCGGAATCGTAAGATATAATAATAATAATAATAATAATAATAATAATAATAATAATAAATGGCCTTTATTTTACCTGGCGGGTTACATCAGCACAAGCTGTTTTTCAGAACCAACCAGGATCTGGATGATACGCGAAATAATTGGAGTAAGCTAGTAATCAAGTACGGACCAGAAGCATTGTTAATGTTGAGCGTCAAGAGCACCCATCTTACGGTATTATGCCTGAACGTTACTTCCCGCATAGTGTAGGGAAACCCTTTGAATCGACGGCACTCAGGAGTTGGGGGGACGTCTATGGTAGAGTTGGCAGAAAAGATCTTGGCAAGCACTTCCGTCTTAGCCTTTGAGTCGGTTACAATCGTTCCATCCTAACACGTAAGCGGTGGAAGGCTACTCTGTGAGAAGCTCCTTTCAATCTGCTTGGCCAGCGTCCAGAAAAACTGACTGCCATTGCACTGCGACATTACCCTGTCTATTACTTTAATATCGTGCTGGTCTTTGGTATTGAGAACCGCATCGTTATATTTGTTTCAGGACTCGACGTCGGCTTGTCTGTTCTCTACAGTAGGGTTTTGTAAGAAGGTTCTGTATGCCTTGATCTTCTGCTGGCGAGCAGTGTCACACGATTTGTTGAACCAGCCGTTGGACCCTGGTTTAGGCACATTCACTGTATAAGGGATGTACAGGTATTCCTCCATCCCAACGAGGATAATTTCGGTTATTGATGAACATACAACCGACACATCCGCGTCAATGAAGCAAGCATCTCTCGAAGGAAAGGTGGAGGAGTCTCTGAGTGCTTCCCAGTCGGCACGTCGGTAATGCCAAATTTTGCGCCCTGGGCGAGTTTCTGCTGCCACAGCAGGGTCAGACCGAAAGGTGGCCTCCACAACGCCGTGATTTGTGTTGCCCAGGGGAGATAGAACAGCAGTGCTGTAAGGGACAGGATGTGTGGTCAGAAAGAGATCCAGCAGGCTACTGGCATGTGACGAAACGCGGGGAAAAAAGTAGGGCTCGTCACCAGCTGCATCGGTCTTGTTTGAACCCTACCAAAGCTGATTACTGAGGACAACTACCTTTGAAGCCGGGTAATTGATGTTCAGGAAGTCGATCTTGACAACGAGCTATTCAAGTAGGTCGCCCTCCCGCTTATGGTCCAAGGGAGAGCTATAAAGGCAGCAAATAAATTTTGGCGATATTTTGGAGTTGAGACCGATCCACAGAATGTCCTTTCAGTCTGATTCCAAAGAGATGTATCTGGAGCAGGAAAGACTGCTGCGGATAAAAGCCACAACTTCTCCGTTCTTTCTCAGATTGCAGTGCACCTCGTAATTTGGGAAGCTAAGATGATTAATCGATGTAGACTGTGAGAGATATATGTATGTCACCGCCAAGAAAAGCATGGCGGGACGATTGGATTGCAGGTAGTGATGAATAGCGTCAATGTTGCTGTTAATCCCGCAGATGTTCGTGAAACAAATTTTATCAACGATAGTGTTCCCACGAGTCCACAGTCCACCCTCCACCCGGAGATTCCGAGAGAGGAGTTAGTTTACGCACTTAATTCTTAGTACTCGAGAGATCCATCATCATTAATTCTTTGTTTTGGAGGATAACCGACTGCATAGCTTAGGTGTGGAAACATGCGGACATTTATAAGACATCCTGGGAAAAGCCAGCGGGTGATACTGCCTCGGTCGACTGATCCTTGTCTACCACCTTCTTTTTGCGTGTTAATGATGACCTAGTGGCCCGTTGGCGGACCTGTACCGCCCCGCTCAGTAGGGTACGACAATTACATTTTACTAAAGCATTTTGGGCTCGTTATAATTATTTTAACGAGTTGGTGACGATCTTCTCAGTCGTTCCTGTTTCCCATCAAAGAGAGTCTTTTGGCCTCCCTGTGTCTCTTCCAATTTTTTTTCTCCTTTAGGAGGACAAAGATTAGTTTCCTTTTTAGCTTTCTATAGAAAAATAATACTGGAAATACATGGACGCTATGGTCACAAAAGGCGTCCTTCAAAGCAAAAAAGCAAATACAGGATGTCCCAATATTCCGTGGACATATTTTTACACACAAAAAAGTCAATTGGGCATGATTTACCTCTATGCAAAAGTGCTTCGTTTGTCCGTTAGAGGGCGTCTAAGTTTTCTTTTTATACCACATTTTAAGAAGCAATAGTCCGATTTGAATGAAAATTAGAACACATGTTTTGCTTGACGTTCTAATATTTGACTTACAAAAAACTAAAGGGTTTGAGAAGGGTAAAAACTACTCCATATCCCTACCTAAATTATACCAGAATCTTTTGGCAACATTCCCGATGACTCTAAATTTTTTCATTTAGTAGATGTTTTTATTTACTCCATTTTCTGCCTTCTATAAAAACGAGCCATCTCGGATAGTTTTCAAGAAAAAAAATTATTTGCATCAAGAAGTTCCCAAACATCTTATTAATTCCTTAACGGCCTTCGCGCACGCATCGTAAGCGTAGTCGTTTCGTAAGCGTATCGTTTCGACGCAACCCTTACGAGACCTGCAGTGTTCCGCACCCGCATCGTCACGGACTCGTATCGTTTTGTAAGATCTCAGTTGAAATCATGGCGTCAACGGTACCTACCAGACGTTTCTGGTGTATCTATTGATGATCTTACATTACATGTTAGAAGTAGGAAGCGACGTGCTCATTGGATCCATCCATACATCGCAAGTAATAAGAAGAAAAGATTGTTTGTTGCTGCACGTGGACTTTCAGAAGATGATAATAAATTCCGAAGCTTTCATCGAATGAGGAAGGAGACATTTCAGCCATATCGAGAGTAATTAAACAAAACGTTTGAATTTTACGCTTGCTTCTACGCCTGCCTTACGCTAGACCGCTAAGACTATCGTAATACGACTGAACATCTCATACGCTTCGCTGCAACACCGCGGATTTGTTAGCACACATACGAGCTCGTTTTGCTCTCGTCCTACGGGAGTATTACGATAAGATTACGATACGACGTAGTGTGCGAAGGCTCTTGACTGTACTTGGCGTAAATAAAAAAATATAATATTACTTATTGCGATTTTATTTAATGCAGGCAATAGTGCGAATCTGTCAGAAAAGGTGTGTGTACATAACAATACGACGCCAAAAATTATAGTTAACTTTTTCTAAGTTGTCAGCATTCATAGTTGATTGGCGTTGTCTATCTGAACCTCGTACACCTTTGTTTTAACTAAATTAAAGAATATTCCATATTCACGAGAACAACAAGCTTCAACGTTTTTTTTTAGAAACCAGCCCCGAATAACATTTATTCGAAGCCTATGCGAGATGGCCTGTTTTTATAAGAAACAAAAAATTAAGTAATTGAAAGGATCTTTCAAATAAACACTTGCTGACCAGTTGTGAAAAGTAAAAATGACTGACAAAAAATAGTTACCTATTAGAAACTGTTTCCGCATTTGTATCCAGCAATGTATCATCATTATTGAAACACTGATCTTTGATGATGAATTCTTCCATTATTTCCCTAACTGGATGTTTTTCGCTGTCGCCTAGATAACTGTCAACCATGAGTTCTTCTTCTGCCTCACTTTTCATCCAAAGCTTAACATAACTGTGTTCAGACCTAAAACATTTTGAACTGATTAAAGAGCACATATTAGAAAGTTATAGCATTGACTGATATACAAAGGGCACTATAAAAGTTTTGCAATATAGCTTTATTTATGGACTTCAAATTCCCACCACATTCAATATACTTCTCCATCCGCCAAAACCAGTCCTTAAACCAGCTCTGCCAAGTTTCACCCGGGAGTGCGGCACACTCGTTGTTCCAAACCCTCAGAAGGTCCTCATCGCTAAAAAAACGTTTTCCTTTGAGCTGTGACTGTCTTCTGTGTCCAAAACGACACGCTCCACAATTCCGCTCGATTTGAAAAATACAGCTACCATTTTTTTCTTAACAGATCGGGATTTTCTGACAGCTACGGGTGTGTCCTCATCATCAAAAGCCCAAACTTTGTTTTGAGCCGTAGTTGGTACGTCGTAATAATAGACCCAAGTCTCGTCACCTTTCAAGATGCTGTTCACATACCGAGATTGCCCCTGATCAAACATTTTCAGCATCTTTCAGCACCAACTCGTATGACGACTCTCCTGCTCTTCCGTCAGACTATGCAGTACCCAGAGAGAACAAAGTTTTCTTATGTGTGAATGGTCATGCAGAATTGAACGAATTGCTGGAACATCAAGGTGTAAGGTCTCCTCTATCTATTGGTATGTTACTGTCCTGTCTTCGTCAAGCATTTTCCTTCGTCTGTCACTGACGTTCGAGGCCTTCCTTCCCTCTCAGCGTCCTCCAGAGTGAAATTGCCCCTTCGGAATTCTCTGTATCACCTGAATATGGTCGTACGATGAGGACAATCATTCTTTAACGCAAGCGTAATTTCTTCTAAGCACTAGTCTATGCTTAAACCACGCGTAAAATTGCCCTTATCTCACTACGTGGTCACGATGCCATAGACCGCACTTTACACTGTCAATACGAATGAACAACTAAATCAAGAGACGTGCTGCTGGCGGCTACTAAGCACTCATGGGCATGTATCAACATGAAAAAACTTGCAGCCTCCTGCGTCCGTTTGTTAAGTCACATTGCAAAACTTTTATAGCCCCTTTGTATATAATAATAATAATAATAAATGCCTTTATTTCCAAACAGTTTTCAAAAAAAAAAGAAAGAGAAACATGAGTATTAACAAAAAAAAAGGAAAATAAAAAAAAATAAAACAAATGTCGACTGTCTGAAAACCACAAGGGGGAGTTCACTATCTAGTGCTCTTCTACTCATCCCTTGAAATTGTAAGAAAAATTATGCCAGTAAATACATCCATCAAGCATATACAAACATCAATATGAACAGCATGTAAGTTTTTTTAAAAATAAGATAGAAAAGTGAGAAATGTGGTAATAAATTAAAAAAAAAAAAGAAAGTCTAGAATAATATATAGAAATATATACCCATACATACCGCATAAACGAACGCCAATATGAACGACAATTAAGTTTGAAAAAAATAGCAAAGAGATATACATATATACAGGGTGTTTTCAAAGTTGAGTCGTTTATTTTAACTGCTTGTCGGGCTCGTTGAATGGAGTTGATATACTAAAAATCACCCGTTGCATAATAAAAGAAATAGTACAAGACTAAATATTTTGAAAACTAAGAATGTTATTACAGAGATTTTTTGATATTCTCGACCACTGCCGTGTAAAATCTTAGCGTTTTTTGTTTACTACTCTTATCGTGTATCTAAATTTGGCAAACTTTTTTTGTTATTGTATGGTTTTCAATACGAGTCTTTGGTTCGATCAGTTGTATCAGCCTTATAATAGTGCGTATACTTTCATGTCTGATTATTTTGTGTGAAAAAATTGCCCATGTTTACAAAAACAATGAACTAGTGGACATAATACTAACATATGGAGAGTGAAAAAAAATGCAGCCTCAGCATGCAGGTTGTATGCAGAAAGGTTTCCTTTAAGAAATCATCCGGCCCCACGGATCTTTGTAAATTTAGTTATTAGACTTCGTGGCACAGGATATTTAAAAAAACAACGACGAAGTCACGCTGGAAGACCTGCTCAACCTTAAATTTACAAATTAAGGAAGACATTTTCGAAATGGTCGAAGACGCAACAATAAGTACTAGAGCCATAGCAGCTCAAGTTGACATTGAAGACAATATGACAAGAACAGTATTATCCTTATCATTATCAACGGGTACAAGCGTTACAACCTGAAGATCATCCTAGAAGAGTTGCATTTTGCCAGTGACGTTTAGAACAGTTCGGCAGAAATGAAGATTTTACGAAATTAATTTTGTTTGCAGTCAAGGTCACATTTACACGTAAGAGAGTGCACAAATGGGATGCTTATTGAACCCTACTTTTTTCCACCTGATCAGTGAAATTTATTTAAATTTTCTTCAACACAATCTGCAACAACTATTAGAAGATGTTCCTCTAAATGTAACACAGAATATGTGGTTCCTAGATGATCGGGCTCCACCACATTTTACACGAGAAGTTCATGAACATCTAAATAGTGAGTTGTTTCCGAATTGATGGATAGGGTGTAATGGGTCCTTTTCTTGGCCTGCTCGCTCCGCGGATTTAACGCTTTGCGATTTTTTTCTGTGGAGCTATTTAAAAAAGTTTGTGTATGTTGATGGAGCATTAAATACTCTGGAAAAACTTCAACAGCGCACTGAAAATGTTTGTGACTTAATTTGTAGACACCAGGATTTTATTTTCGAAGCTTGTAAAGAGTCGTGGATTCACCGAGCAAGATTGTGCGTTAATCGAACAAATGGGGACAATTTTGAACTTGATAATGATTTATGTAAATAATGTTTAATAACCTAAAGTAACTCTCTTATTATGCAACTTTTTATAGGTGATTTTTGGTATATCAACTTCTTTTGACGAGTTCTACAAGCCGTTAAAATAAATGACTCAACTTGAAAACACCCTGTATATATAACCCAATCCTGTGCTATATTTGGTCGTTCACCTACAATTTCTATTGAGACAGCCATGTTACCAAGTTGAATCAGATGTATTTCCTTAGAAGACTAAGAGAGATTACTCCCCAACTTTTGTCAATACCTCCCCCCTCGGTCCATACCTTAACTGGTTCTGCTATGTGAATAAGAAGAAATAATATTTACCTAGAAGCCAGATCATCTACAAAATAGTTATCAGTTTCTTGCTTAATGTTAATTTGATCGGTAATTTCTGGTACTGGAATTCTGAAAAAGGCAAAAGTAATTGAGTATTTATTGAAAGTAGGTGCTAGGTAGTTAAATACAGGACATAAACGGTGTCTCAGTAATCTGTGGACCTAGGAGTTCCACGAATTTTTAGACTCAAAATAAGTCTGTCGGACATGATTTACCTCTATACAAAAGTGCTCCGTTTGTCCTTTAGGAGGCGTCAGATTTCTTTCAGAAACACATTTTTTCAGATATCTTTGGAACTGATACTCCGACTTGAATGAACTTTGGAACCCATGTGTTTTGCTAGTCGTCCTAATATTTGACTTTTACAAAAAAAACCCAAAATGGTTAGAGAAGAGTGAAAACTAACTCCATCCTACATAAATTATAGCAGATTTTTTCGCATCTCTCCTAACCACTCTCATTTTTTTTTTTTTCATTTAAAACATCCATTCATTTACCTAATATTTTGTCTCTTATAAAAACAGGTCATGTCGCATAGTTTTCGAGAAAAAAAAATGTTTTTCGGGGCTGGTTTCTAAAAAGTTTTCTTATTACATCATGTGTTAAAATCTAGTAGGCACCTATTTGGCGGAAATATGAGGTCGGGGGGGTGTAAGCCATATATAAGGACTTATATCCTGCTTTGAGCGACATCTGATGACTGCGCTGAACACTAATGTCTCTGGTTGATACTTATCATCCTAGATGGCGCTGCGTAACTTATTTTTTTCAAATAATGGAACTGTCAAAGACGCACTATCAACGGGAATTAATTTGATTTAAATTTAAAATAGTAATTAACAAAAAAAATAACAGAACATAGCGAGAGCGCCTGTCGGGAGATACCTATATGGCCACAGTGGCGAAGCCTGCTGGAGGCATAGGTTATGCAATTAACATAAGACATAGACCAAAATCATCTAACTCCCTAGAATTTGTCCGCAGGGACCTGAAAGCGGAACAATTCGGGTCTATTGAAGGAATACATCTAATGGAACAAGACAAAACTATATACTGGGAAGCTGACCAACGAAATTCAAAACTCAAGGAATATGTCATCAAAATAAGAACAGGAAAAGAGGCGTCCTCTTTGGACGTGAGATAAGAGATGTTTGTCAAGCCCTCTGAATGGAGGTGGATCCATCGCCCCAGCCCTCACATCAACATTGCTCACAACTCATTAAACGTTATTTTGATTGCCCATTACATCTAAAGTAGTGTGCCGAGAATGGTGTAGATCAAACGAGACTATATTTTATATAATACATTTATACACAATACATATTTTATAAAATACCTACATTTGTGTACAGATGAATTTGTCATCTTTATAAATATTTTGTATTTTTTGTAAAGCTCCAAAGTGCATGACTAGTTTTAATAAGCAAGTAGGTATAATTTTTCTTGCTTTTGGTTTAATAACGGCGACGAGGATATTGATTTTACATTTCAAATGTAACTGTCAAACAACTATTTTGCGTTAATCTATTTTGTGATGCATTTTAAAATATTGCAAACTGTGAAATTGAATTGGATTCAAAATTTTTGATAAGATGAACATAGTAACGGAATGAATAGGTACCTATCAATAGACTTGACACCATTTTTTAAATGTCATGTATTTTCTTGCATGCTTATTATACGTTGTAGGTTATTTTACAGAATAAAACTGGATGAAAACTTGGAAACTAAATGTTTTAATGACAAATTCCTTTAACAAATACATATTTTTTTAAGTTAGCATAATTAACAACACCCTGTATACATTTGTTTATAAATATAATGTAATTTGAGGATAACAGTGTCACTGATCAGAATCCTGTAAACAATCTCGTTTTAGTTTCATTTGCTATGTGTTAGAGAATGGCACAATCATCAGTGGGTGGTGTTAACAGTGGTACCAGAAATCATAGGAGAGAGTGTTGCCTGTACTGTAGCTAATAATCTGTGTGTGGGATGTCAGTCTCAGATTACTATCGAGCTCCATAAAATTTAAATTAAAAAATATTTCTGTTTATTTTTAGGGTCAAATATTAGAACATCTAGCAAAACATTTGTTCTAAATTTCAGACAGAAAACTTTGACGCCCTCTAATGGATAAACGAAGCGCCTTTGCATAGAGGTAAAATGATGCCCAATCAACAATCGACTTATTCGAGTCTACAAATCTGTGGTACTTCTACCACAGAATATACAGATACGACACCTATTATTATTTCTTGGAAAGCTTTTTATATTGAATATAACCAAAACAGAATGTTTTTGATAACCCCTAAATCCTAAATGTCACACTAACACGAATCCCACCAAACGCATAGGACTCAAGTTAGCGTTGATAGAACCTAATTTTTGACAGTGTCGCCTCTGGTAGTACTCTCTGATACACGCAGTATCCATGGAATACTGGGACACCCTGTATAATACAAAATATCTAGAAAATAAATGCGGCTTACCTATTCAAAACTGCATCTTTTGTGTTTTCAATGTCATCACTTTCCAGTTTCCAAGGGGCACTATCAAGCTGAAATAGCTTGGTGTCTGCCTCTACTGCATTGATCCCAACCTCCTCAGTTTCTATCTTCATGATGTCTCCAGTAGCTAGCACTTTAGCATCCATGATCAGCTCTATATTTTATGTTTTCCCAACTGACTGGTAGAAAATGATAATTGTTTATCATTACACTTTTATGTTTATGTGATGATTATTTGGAAATTAACACAAAACACGTAAGACGGAAATTAAAGACATTCACAGAACACAAATAATCGAAGTCTGTCAATATTAAAGTTTTGATTGTAGAGTTGGACAAACCACTACAATTGTAATAAGAACTATCACGATTAACCATCGTTCTTTGCGAAAACACTCTCGGAATCTCTCTCAATCTAAACAATGGCATGGCAACAAATGTGAGCAACAATCAATTTTCTAAAATCGACAAGCACGAGATTATATACGAGAACGTCGATTTACTAAGGCACTTATGATGTGGAACGAAAGTATAAGTGATTTCTTTTTCTTTTTGCGTGTCTTGGAATAGGCCTTGATTTGATGATAATCGAGCGAATTATGTTTACAAAATCATTATTCCAATATTGTATGTGGATTGTGCATTGTGTAAGCAATCAGATTTTTAAACAGTTTCCCTGCTCTGGGGACCCTTAAATGAAGTCATGTTTTGGGGCAACTGGCAGTGGCCTTCCTGAGAATCTGGGTGAACCTTAAAATTTGCATATTTAGCATGTAAACTGTCCAGCACCTCGATCATAATTTGTTTGACCTATATTTATAAGAACATTTGTTTGAATATTATTCCGAATAACCCCAGATGATTGACTGCGGCACTGGAAAAAGTAGCAAATCTACTGAAATATCATCAACTGGTGCACAATTGCGCTGTGCAGTGTTCGTCGGTCGTTGCACGACGGCTGGCGAGCTTCTCACATCGCACAAAATGTTCGATTGCATTTTCAACTCGACAGCTATCTCGATCTTTCTGCATAATCTAGTTGGCCATGGCTTGGTACGGCTATGTAGATGTTTCTGAAACTCATTCACATCCGATTGGTCAGTGTAGTGGTTAGATGGCCAGTTTAGTATTCGACCGTCCCGAGTTCGATCCTGGGAAATAAGGACCTTTTTTGTTTCTTTAGATACTTCATATTAATAAAATTTGAAAATGTATAAAACCCTGTTATACCATATGTGAACAGTACCTCACATGTGCTTTCTACTCATCTGTTCCAAATGATTTTTACCAAAGGAAGCGGAATTTCCTTGAATGGATTAACTGTTCTGGTAGTGTTGAAAAGATTATTCGATCGTTTTTTCACTTGTATATTATCTATTTTGGAATTGTGAACAAGATTAGGGCTCAAGCGGTACAAAGGAGATTATTCAAGACCTTGGCCGATGAAATCGACTGTCAATACGGGGTACTACTTATTCACTCTGAAGTCCGATGGGGAACGAGTAGGGAACGAGTGCTGAAACGCTTTAATGATATCATATCTGCCATAGTTCAATTTTTCGAACAACAAAGAACTAGCAGAAATGATTTCTGTTATGAGAGTGTTTATCAAAAAGCTTGAATTTGGGAACAAAACTTAATCGATTGCAATACCAGGCATTTTCCTGTTCTTTCAGAAAATATATTTCAGAGTCAATTAGAACTATATGACAGTAAATATCATGTAGAAATAGTCTCTAACTTAAAGGATAACTTCAAAGATCGTTTCAAGGATTTCAACGAAATCGCTATAATGGCGCAATTTGTTGTTTCATCCTTGATATCCAACAGTTTGCAACTTCTGTTACGCTGCGACAGAAATGGAAGTGATAGCGTTTCAAAATGATTTAGCTTTAAAATCATTAGTCTCAAATACAAAATGTATCTGGCCTTCAGTATGTAAAGATATTTTCAGTTTTATGTTGTGTTGCCTTGAAAGTGAAAGTGTTATTTAGGTCAACCTATTAGTGTGAATCTTCTTTTTCAAATATGGAGTTTATTAAAAACAAATGCCGTAATCGACTTACAGATGAACATTTGGATAATTGTATTCGAATGGCGGTATCAAATTATACTCTAAACATTAAAAAAATTGTCAGTGAGTCTGAGTGTCAGGCTTATCATTGAGCACGCATTTGTTATCTGGACATGTGTTTGTTTCAAATAGTTCGTTGCCTTTTTTATTTTTAGTTTCCTCTATTAAATCGTATGTGACATGCCAAACGATATTTGGGGCTGGTAATTTTTTAGCCTCAGTGGAACTTCTAGAATTTATCCTATTATTGCTCCTTAAATCCATGGTGTTCTATCTGGTCAAGGCCAGCTTGAAAAAAACTTAGAAAATGCTCAGAAATCCTCAGAAATTCAATATTTTATTATATGAGAACAAAATAAGTATCCATGGTGTTCTATCTGGTCAAGGCCAGCTTGAAAAAAACTTGGAAAATGCTCAGAAATCCTCAAAGGCAATATTTTATTATATGAGAACAAAATAAGTACGTAGCGCGTATAATTAACTAGTGTAATAATATTAAAGAATTCAAACATAAAAAACTTCATTGCTGGTAACAAAAAAAAATAAATAAACATTCTGAGGGTCTCCGAGACCCAGCCCATTCCACACAAAACAATGTTTTTGATTGTGAAAACGAACACGACACGGTTAGGATGGGAGGTCCAAGTCAGGCGGGTCTGTCTGGCATGCACATCGCGTGGCGGCATCATGGAAGAGAGCTCTGAGGAGCAAAGTGCGTTGGTGTAGCGGTACAAGGGATTTCTATCGCCGACGGCCCGCCTGTTCGGAAGGGTCCTGAGACTGTCTGTTAAAGAAGAGTCATCGATCAGTCGGACAGTCCTCCTCTGGTCAGCATCGAGCATAAATAATGTAGTCGGGGCGGCAGCACCCCAAATGTGTGAGCAATACTCGAGGCTAGGCCTTATCTGAGCCTTGTATAGAGTGAGAAGGCCATGCTGCGCCCTAAAAAGCCTAACTTTTTCCCAGCAGCTGCCGCTCTTGACGAGATGACTTCGTGCCAGACCAGGTCCTCGGTGATCTGGACTCCGACCTGTCGAAGTGAATGGCTCTTTGGCAGAGCTGGGCCACGGAAATCGGATAAGCTTTAGGACGCTTTTTGTTCGTCAAGGTACAGTACTGTGTTTTGGAAGCATTAAACTGTACAAGATTGTTGCGTCCCCAGGTCTCTCGTCAAAGAGGAAGTCGTCGCTAGTCTTCTATTTTCAAGCTCAGTCACTCTGAACTCGTGTATGTAGAGTAATGCCATCAGGGAAACTATGGTTTGGGTTGATCGTGCAGGAAAGGAGGTCGTTGATATGTAAGAGGAATAGTTTCGGAGCCAAGACCGATCCCTGGGGATTACCCCCGTTGACATTGTGGGATGAACAGGAGAACCCGTCAATTACAACGGATATCTTGCGGCCAGAGATAAAGTCAGCCACCCATCTGCAAAACTTTTCTGGTAGGCCATAGGATGGAAGTTTGCTTAAAAGGGCAGGGTGTCTCAGCTGATCGAACGCTTTCGTGATGTCAAGAGCAACGACATAAGCCTCACCATAAGACTGGATGAGTTTACTCCACAATTTCGTAACGTAAGCTAGGAGGTTCCCTGTGGATCGCTGGTGCCGGAAACCATACTGCCTGTCGCTAATCAAGCTGTGACGTTCGAGGTAGTCCAGAAGCTCGCGTTTTAGGCACCTCTAATCACCTTACTTATAACAGAATGCAGAGCTATAGGCCTGTAGTTGTAAGGGTCGGTCTTAGATCCCTTTTTTGGGATGGGTTAGACATGAGCGAATTTCCAGTTTTCTGGGAAGGTGCCAGATTCATAAAGTATCTGGAAGAGACGCGTAAGAATTGGAGCAAGCTCCGCTGCACACCTCTCCAGTACAATGGCAGGAATCAAGTCCGGTCCAGAAGCGTTGTTGATGTCGAACGACAAGAGCACGCATCCGCGTCAGTGAAACAGACATCTCTCCAAGGAAAGGTAGAAAAGAAGTATCTGAGCCCTTCCCAGTCGGTATGTCCGTAATGCCAAATTTTGTGGCCTGTACGAGTTTCTGCTGCCACAGCGAGTTCTGACCGAAAGCTAACCTCCACAACACCGTGGTCTGAGCTACCTAGGGGGGACAGGACAGCAGTGCTGTAAGGGACAGGATGCGTGGTCAGAAAGAGATACAGCAGGCTACTGGCAAGTGACGAGGCGCGGGGGGAAAAAGTAGGGCCCGTCACCAGCAGGGTCAGCCCTTGAGTAAGAGCGAACGCTTCAACTGCTCCATCGGTCTTGTTTGAGCGCAACCAAAGCAAATTATGGTCATTGAAATCACCGAGGAGAACTACTTCTGAAGCGGGGTGATCGATGTTCACGAAGTCGATCTTGACGGCGAGGTATTCAAGAAGGTCATCCCAGTTATGGTCCGAGGGAGAGCGATAAAGGCAGCAAATAAATTTGGGGGATGTGTTGGAGTTGAGGCGAAGCCACAGAATGTCCTTCCGGTCTGATTCCCGAGAAATATCTCTGCAGCAGGAAAGACTGCTGCGGACAAAGACCACAACTTCCCCTCTCTTTCTCAGATTGGCGTGCACCTCGGTGCGGACTCTTGGGATTTTTGTTTCAGTCAAGAAAAGCATGACGAGACGATTGTATTGCAAGTAGAGATGTACAGCATCAATGTTGCTGTTAATCCTGCAGATGTTCGCGAAACAAATTTTATCTTCGATGTTCCCTCGAGTCCACCCTCCACCCGTCCATTCCGAGAATGGAGTGAGTTTACATCCGGAATTCTTAGTACTCGAGGGATCCACCATCATTAATTCCTTTGGCACCCTAAGGCACCCTGGGAAAAGCTAGCGAGTGGTACCGCCTCGGTCGACGGTTCCTTGTCTACACCTTCTTTTTGCGTGTTAATGATATTAAATAGACCTAAAGTGGCCCGTTGGTGGACTGAGGTATTCCTTAACGCGTGTACAACCACTTGAACGGGAAAAAGTTGTATACTGGATACAACAACTTCCGGAACAAGCATTTGCCACGGCCCCGCTCAGTAGGGGTTGGGATTTTCCTTGTCGAACTTAGATTTACGGCATAGTTGTTGTTTTCTCACTTTTCTCGGTATTGATCGCATGTAAAAATTTTAGAAATCATTGGAAAAAATATCTGTTATATCGTAATTATTTTGATAATGTATGTTTGTACTAAACAAGTACAGGAATATAGGGCTGTACATATTCACGTGC